GCTCACATATTACACAGAAGGTTTATTGCTATCTTTTTGCAAAATACAATTAGTGTTATCCATAGCAATATGATTTCTCTTTTTCCTTCAAATCCATGGACCTCAAGGAAACCTTGTACTAATTGTTGTTAAGAGCAATTCGTCTAATGTTTGAATGCAGAGGTGTCACTGTGGCTAGTGGAAAGTTCAAAAGATTTTGCTACATCCAAATACAAAGCATAAATGCTATGATCTGTTAATACCACCTCCCAATTATTTTAGATCTATTTGGTGCTTTTCAGTATATATAAATGTTACTAGAAATTTGAATTGGTATCAAACATACTGTTGATTTATTACAAATACAATCACTGCTTGCTGTTTTGATATTTGAGTATTTCAGATGGCTGAGGCTCCCCACAAAATAGCCTTTTTCAACAGCATTTTACTCCAACAATAAGGTGATAAACCAGCCTTTCTAAGACCATTTGCCTCGGTAAAATTGCCTTAACACGCGGAAAGTCACACAATATAGGATTAACGTGGGAGAATAGACCCAACACATGTAGTCACACACGACACATTTGAGACAAAACACTATAACACATAATAGCCTCTAAATGAACCATCTCTCCAGCGTTCGGCAAGGGAGCTGACAATAGCAGCTTGCCGTCGCTTGTGCCGTTGTGAAATGAGGAAAAGAAACAATATAAAGTATCAAAGGCGCAATGTCTACAAAGGATTCACGACTGGCAGGAAGCAGTGTTGGAGGATTCTTTCTGCAGAAATGGTTGAAGGACATTTATACAAGTCAAACCTATACAATGCAAGTCAAACATAAAGCTGCATACTTCCATAGCAACTAATTACCATGACACACAATTGTATGCTTGTTTGCAAAGGAGAAAATGATGTGCTATGTGTGTGAACCAAACCAACCACAACACTGGCCAATACATACATTATAACCAAGATGTCGGTATAAAAGGTAAGCCTTATGGACTTACAGCTCACAAATGAATTAATTCCTCTAGCTCTTATCAACCGCAGGTCAAGAGCCAGCAGCATATAGCTATTTCCAGCTCTGATAGATGCAGCCTATTGCTCTTGACAGCACCGGTATCGTTGACACAAACCCCCAAACCAAATTTCCTGCAGATTTTGCCCTGAGCAACAAAAAGGGCGCTAAAAAAGAAGTTGATATTAGATGCACATTTAACAGGCTGTCAGAGGAGAGAAACATGCCAAGTTTTACATTTAATCAAAATGTCTCTAAACCTCATTAGACAAGGGATATTATTGTTGTACTTGCATTGCTGGACAGATGCCATTCTCTCTGCAGATGCATATTAAAAGTGTACAAACTTTTTGCCTTTGTTATCAGGCCTATAGCCAACAGAACAGAGATAGAAAAGAAATACACTGATACAAAAGGAATCCTCACACTCTCAAACAGTTTTATTCTTCATATTATCATTATTTTTATTCTCTCAGGATTAGCCTTAAATATTGTTTTCTGCTACAACGATGCTCATTAAAATGTAATCTAATCTGCTCATGGTAAATACTCTTCTTCTATGGTTAAAACTCCAGCACCACTTCAATTTGTTGAACATTTTTCTGGTGCACGTTTGTCTCCGTGGAGATGCTATCCTTTGCCAGGGATGTTTCAAAGTATGGTTTTAACTTAATCTATAATCCGCTACTGATAAGCAGTGACTATAGAATGATATTTACCAAGCATAAAATTCTTCCAGTCATTTTTCATTTTCATATTCCATAAAGGTTGTTATTTTGTATCTGTTTTTAGATTTCTCCATAAAGTCACACCTTTTAAATCAATACATGGTCTTTTCAAGGTGGTACAAACATACTGTACTTTTAAGTTAAATTGTTGTTATGTCCAGACTGGTTTCCGTCCTCTTTCCAACACAGAAATGGCTCTTCATGGCTGTTCATCATCTACTTCCTCCCAATATGGGTCAGATCTTCCGCAAACTATCCATCCAATTTCACTGCTACATGGAGGACTCCCAGTTCTATCTCTCGAGCGAACCCAATGCTACACATGCACTCCCTCCCAAACTAAAAATATAATAATCCTGGTTCACTTTCTTAAACTCAATAGCAATCAAACAGAACTGATGTATTATACATTCAAATTATCATTCATTATTTTCACTATCCAGCTCTAACTAATTAGAATGCTGTCTGCAATTAAATAAAGTATACTTGTACCGCTAGAATGTTGCAAGTATAGTATCAATATTAAACTGTGTATATATTTGCAAATAGAATGTATGTATGTCTGTAACTTGGATTGGAAACACCTCTCTCTCTCTCTCTCTCTCTCTCTCTCTCTCAATGTGATAAAACAACTCATGTGTTGTTTAGCATGCCAACAATTAATCCAATTAGAGTTCTGTTTTTTTCTTCTTCCTAACACAAAGCTTTTACACTTGAACTTTGTTTAGCTGCACTGATGTGATTGCAAAACGGCTTCAATCGATTGGTTGTAATGTAATAACAATATGGATACAAAGATCTGTAAATGTGAGGATTCGTTTTGGAGAAAAAGTTGCAGTATGAATAGAACAATGTAATCGATGTGGCAGTGACTTTTCACAGAAAGAGAGGTAACAGTGCATCGACTGCAGGCAGCTCACACACTCAATCAGATTAACTAATGAAGCTATTATTGATCCAAAATGGGGCGCTTGGCCGGCACATAACTGGCCATTAAGTGGTTCTTCCTTTCCCTTGGTCATGCTCAAATGCCACGGTCACTGTTTGCGACTTGACAGAGTTTACTGATGTTTGTGTGGAGGAGACTAATCACTTGTATCTCTGAGCAGCAGCAGCAGATTAACCTGTCATTATTGGCCGTTTGCACAAAAAATACACCCTAATATTATCTCTCTTGGGTCCTAAAAACAAAATGTAATTAGTCATAGTAATTGCAACAAGCTAGTAGTTTGTGTTGTGCCAATCTCAAAGAAAGTTGTATAGAGGAAAGGTTTCCAAAGGAAAATGGCTTTAGTTTTGATCATTTACTTAACTTTTTTTTTTTCATTTGTAGCCACCACAAGCCTAGCCAGGCCTTAGCCATCCGCAAAAATATAACTTCCCTACATGTATGTCTGGGTCTGATCCTAGTGGCTGTGGTTACCTCGGTAGGTAGGTGTTGTGACGTTTAGCGTTTGCGCTAAATTTGCTGGTTGTAGTTCGGAAATGGCGGCGGATGCCAATGAAGTAATCCGTTCTGGTTAATATCAAGAATTTGAAGCCGGAACATCTGGAATATTTAGCAAATTTTATTACAGGCAAATATGTTGTGGCTCTTCTCCCCACAGGCTCCGTTAGCGGCAAAGGAGATGGCGAGGCTAAATGCTTAATGCCTCACTCACTCGGGAGCATTACATACATCACGGCAAACTCAATCTGCAAAACGAGTTAACCCCTCCCACCTGTAGACTGAGCTCAATGAGGCAAATGCAGATCTTAGTATGAAATGAAATTAGTATGATGGTGTGGTAAAACCAGGCTACCCCAAGCCTGTAATCATGAAATGTCTAGTCACCAATGACAGTATTGACTACTAAAACTAGTATTGAAACTAGATACTCTTTTCAAAAAGTATTGATTAAAAAAAAAAAAATCAGGACATAAACAGAAACACATAAACAGGACTAAAGTGAAAGTGAGGCGTCATTTGGGAATCTCTGCTGAGTTTTTGAATCATTTTGATCTCCAAACTAGTTTGAAAATAAGTGGAGTGGGTGCTTCTGGCACCACCATAAGCTGGTCCTGTCTAGAAGACAGGAAGTACTTTGTTAAAATTGGAAACTGTCTCTCATATGGCCTTGATCTGTGGAATTCCACAGGGGTTGATCCTGGGACCCCTGTACATGCTGCTGTTAGGTCAGTTAATGAGTAATAAAAACTATGCAAAAAAAAAACATGGAACACTCACTCCTTCACTGCATCCAACAGATCAGTGAGTGGCTGCAAAACACAGGGATCGGCTTCCTGTTGGTGCGCAGAGTCAGGAGGCAATTTTCAGATTTATGCAGCTAAAATCTGGAGCAGTCTTTCCGAAAGTGTGAGACAAGCTTCTACTCTGACAATGTTTAAATGCGGGTTGAAAGCAGTTCTATTTAGCTGTGAAGCACTGAAGGATTGTATCCACACTTGTGCTGTGTGCATGTTTTTAATGTCTTAGAAATGTTTAGATTATCACAATTGTATCAAAATCAATATTGAGTATCAAGTCTATTTCTTATTGTTGGGATCAAGTTTGTTGTAATGTTATTGTAACAGCTCTAGTAACACTATGCCATTCCATTTCTAACACTCAGCACAATATGGTATTGTCCAATCCATATTTCTATTTTAAATCTTATAGTATCATTACCTCTGAATATGCAGTCTTCTCTTTTGATCCAAAATCTTTGATACAGTCGATCCTACCATTCTGGAGGCTGGTTAAACTGTAGAGAGAGAAACAAAAAGACGATTTGTAAAATTATTCTGTATTGTGACACAACGTCTCGGAATAAAGTGATGTGAAGAATAAATCAAAAATGACTTGAGAACTACTTGGAAGTGGAGAGATCCTGCTAAGTCTGTATTCCAAGCAGGTAACCATGTAGCACACCAACACTGACGCTGTCTTTTCCTCTGAACTTGAAATGCACCTACCATAATTAGGCCCGATGTGGGACAGAGAAGGTGGGGTTAGCGGGAGGGTTTGTGTCAGCAGCATCCACAGCTGTCAGAAAGGCACTGTATACTTTTATAGCCCCAGTTCACAGACACACAACGTTGTTTGTTCCCATGCTCATAGTGGGAGAGGTGTCACAGAAGCCTCACTACACGTCAAAATAGGAGTGCGAGTTCTTTTATCAAAGTAAAAAGCAGCAGGATCATTACAATTTCTTCGATATGACATGATGTATTGTGATTCATTATTTCACTGGCATTCATCAGTAATGGCAAATGGCTGCAAACACTCTCAAGAGATGAACAAATATCAGGTAAGGGGGAAAATAAGAACCAACGAATCTTATGCCTCAATCTGTTTTCATTATTATTCAGTCTTGACCACTGAACTTCCGCATTATGACCAAGATGTTATTATTTAGTAATTGAACACCAGGCTCCAGGCACACCACTTTCACACTATAAAAGGGAAAATAGTTCCTTTTCTTCTGCTGGTGCATTGAGGCAAGAAAAATATTGCTTTGCAGTTAACTTCTAATCAAATTGCATTAGGTTTCCACAGTCAGTGCCCCCACTCCATTTGCACAAGCTATCACAGACAACCTACATAAATTTCACACCAGGGCCTGGTCCGACACTCAGCGTGTGCAACTAAAGAAACATTTTGTGATCAGACAAGCATGATTATGTGTTTACAGCACAGCAGTAAATTATTACATTTGCAGCAGATGGAGTTTACACTGTGACAGTTATTTTTGCAAACTAGTTTTACAAAATATCAAAGATGTGCCCCATTTGTCATCGAAATTTAATTAACCAGGACCTTCCTGCCATATTAAATCATAACTAAATCAATGCATAATTGATCATTACAATCAGTGCATTCATTAACTCAGTGGAGGTTGAATAATTAACACTTATATTGTTGAATTTTTGGATACAAATGTAGTAACATTGATCAGCAGTCTAAACTTAAAAAATAAGACTTTATGTTCAGAGTATGAGGGAGGGGAGTGTGATTGAAAGCACCAGAGCTGCTGAGTGCAGTGTGAGGTCAAATGCAGCATAGTAATGAGCTACTAACATTTTGGAAGCCATGTTGATGCACATTTTGGTATAGCCTACTTTTCTCCTTGTTCATCTTTTTAAAACAATGTGATTTAACAATAGTAAAGGACGTTGCCTAGTAATAAGAGAACAATGTGTGTATACAGCTGCAGCTAAGAGTCTGTAATCGCTGCTAAAAGGTGCACTTCTGGATGTTGTGCTTCAAGTGCACTTCAGAATGTGTCCCGAGAGCGTGCGTTTGGTGTGTACGTGCTTGCTAATGCGCGTGTGTGTGTAAGTGTATGTGAGTGAGTGCGTGTGTGTGCGTGTATGTGTGCGTGTACGGGATAAAGAGAGTAATGGGCTAGACACACGGGAGGCGACATCGCATCGCCTCCATTCATTTCAATGGGACGTGCGCGACATAGTGTCAATCGCTAGCGAGCCTCCTGCTCAGCGACGGGCGAAAAACGTGCGTGTGAAATCCTCCTGCTCGTGCATGTATCGTGCACGCGCAGGTCAGCGACGCGATCCCAGAAAGTTGAAATCGGCTCAACTTTTCGACGCTGTCGTCAAGCCGCATCGCGCCCCGTCTGTCATGTTATCTGAGCGACAGCGTTGAGTTTCGCTGATCGCTCTCATTTGTCGCCTCCCGTGTGTCTAGCCCATAAGAGCGGGCTCTGGAGGAGGGGGCCGAGAGAGACTGAAGGGGGAATTGAAAGGAGGTTTTGAGGAGGTGTTCAGGGGGAGTGGGGGAGTGGGGGAGGGAGGAGTACAGGAGGGGGGGTCCATGGGCGGGGCCGCGCACACACCACCCCGCCTCCCCCAGTACGAGCGCCTCTCACTACCTGTTCAGTGTCCACAAGCCTCTCCGGTGCCAGCGACGCACGCACGCGACACGCAAGCGGACTCAAGCCGAAAGTGAAGTGAGCTGCCGTCAAGACACGCCAGGACCTCAGTAACAGCGCGAACTCAACCAAAACCACAGCCCGCAGTCTCCCAGAGCAAGGTTCCAGTTTCAAGCAGGATTTTTTTGAAACAACTCACCAAAGATGCACTTGTTGTCCGCCGGGCTCCTGGGCTCTCTCCTCTTCGCGGGGCTTCTGAGTCAAGGTAAGCTTTTTTCTCGCGAGGTGTCGTGTCCACGTATGGCGCAAAGTCGCAGGTGCAAAAACTAAAAAAAAAAAAACGTTTTTTTTAACTATAACAATGGTGTAATAAAGCATGAATGGCTTATACGAAAGTTTGTTTAGATGTTAGACTCAAAAAAATTTCAACGAGAAGATCATACAAAACTTTGAATTTTCCTCTCTCTTTATCTCTCTATATATATTTTTTTTAAGTTGTTCTAGTTTTACTTGTGTACTTGTAACGTAGGGCATTGATGATGTACGTCTTCTTTGCTATTTAACTCAATGAGAATGTGCTAAACTTTACTTTACTATCTAAAATGGTGTCCTTGCTGTGCTGAGTTTGGCACGAGACCGGCTTTATTGTAACCAGTATCGTTCATTCATCTGGTAGGCCTACTTCTGCCACCGTATTGTCCTGAGATGGGAGAGGCTCTGAGGTAGCTCTGAGCCCCCCCCCCCCCCCCCCCTTCTTCACGTGTGTCTGAGAAATGATGTCACATGAAGGCTTATTTTTATGTTTGCCGGCTGTTGAGGCTTCACCCTGATTCTTTTATTGTAATTATCTAGGCTGCCTACCCTACTGGGAGAATATGTAACAAGGCACTTATAATCACTAATAAGCCCATGGTCATTTTAACACTTTGGAGTAGACACATGCTTAAGGAGAAAACATGGATATGATATTTGCCTATTGAGGTTTGTTTGTCTGAGATTCATGCAAATCATTGTGTTATGTTACAACTGCCATACTGTGTAACATGGTTACATTATTTTTATAACATCACAAAATGCATGTATATCCAGCAAAAAATGTCAAATTGAATACATATAATCAGCACAACTCAAAATAAACCATGGCCTGATTGTAATGATTTTTAAGCATGTTTTGCGGTGCTTTTGTAGACCAACAAGTAATCATAGAAATTCTTCAGCCATGAACATATACAGTGGATGCAAGAACCTGCTTATTTTGATCTTAAAGGGTAGGGGGTAGAGGGGTTTGCCGTCCACCTCGTCACACCACACTGACGTCTGTAGTAGTAAATTAACACAACTCTGCACCTATCCGTCAGGCTCAGGTGGTTTGTTTGAGAGGAAACGAATGGGCCTTTTAGGTTGGCTTTTATGGCACCGTTCTGCTGCATTGCTGTGTGCTTGAGACCGGCCAATATAGCGCAGAGTAGGTAATAGTTCTACCTCTTTATGGTTGTGTATAACAGTGTGACGAGTGGTTTTCTTAAGTAATGGGACAACAGATGGTGACTTATGCCCCTGGTTCAAATAGTAGGTTTTTAGCTTTCCTTTTGCAGTTGCCACAGCACAATATCGATGGTGCAACTCTTATCAGTCATCCGTGTAACAGAAAGACTACACCAATTCTGAACCCAATTTGTGGGACTTGTAGTTCATTGCTATTAAAAAAATGGTTAATATTGTTTTTAAAACAGCAACAGAAACAACAACAGAACGGCAAACGAAAACACTTCAGACTCAATTCCACTGAACTCTATTCAATTTTCTCAATTGTTAAGTTCACTCAGAGTTAATTCAAATAATTTTAATAGTTTTTAATCACTGCAGTCTTGCTATAAAAGCACTAACATTGCTGAAATCTACTGCATATTTCGCAATTGTTTAACAGTGAGATTGGGATTCCATCAGCATTGGAAGCCCATCAGTATCTCCAAACTAGACTTGGCTATTTTTGGAAAGAGGCAGGGACTCCAGGGGTTTCAATGAATCATGGCACAACCATATAACAAAGGAGTTTCTCTAGGAACAAAAAGTCTAGAAAGATGCATGTGTTTTTTTGCCCACTTGTCTCCTCCCCTCCCCCACCTACGGGCCCCTCCTCAGTAGACTGCCACTGCTCCTGTCACAGCTGGTATTACTTGTCAACTGGGGGCTCTCCCTTTTTGCTAATGGACTAATCTCTTGGCGGGGTCACCCAATTTCACCTGAGATAGATGCACTTGGCCGACTTGCATCTCTAAATAGGTTATATGTGGGCTTACCTACCCACTGTGGCGTGATGTACTTGAGAGGAAACCACTGCCTTAATTGTCATATTCGCTGACTTAAGATTTTAGTACATCTGTGAGTTTGTTTTTCGTCTCATTCTGTGTTTCTGCTTGATGTTTGAAGCCTGACTGAAACTAGTTGTTTCTTTTTATTCGAGACACACAATTTTGTATTGTACCCATTCATGCTAAATTCACTTGAGGAGTGGGCCAGATGAATCAAATCAAGCTTTTGAATAGGAATGCTGCATGCAAGCTTTACTTACATCCTAATTAAGCAAATGCCATTGATTTAGTATGATAATTACATTTCTGGCCAACTAATGAGAAACTCAAACTGACAACATTGTCAATGGAACCATTTTAAACTGGTGGTGGAATTGTCCACAGTAAGTGAACAAAACTGTTAGAAACATTGTTACTGAGTCCACAAATATGAGTACAAATCATGCAGGTGGTGCATTGTGAATGTATCTCTTTTATGCATTTCAGTTGGCTACACATTGGAATTGAAAGTAAAGTGAGACAGATGCTATTATTCGGTAGAAAGAATCACAAAACAAGTGAAGAAATAAGAAAGAAACAGATGTTCAATATGGAGGAAGTTTACCTCAGATGAGCTGTCTGATTATGTGCTCCATAGGCACTGATGAGAATCCAGGAAATGTGAGGTGCATTTTAAGTTGAAGCTGGTTAACTGTGTTTTTTTTTGGCCCATTGCTACTGTAAATTAAAGTTGCATTAGACTGGGGAGGCCCTGTTACCACTCCTCGGGGTGCCGGATTCCAACCATGTGCCCCGAGCAGTGCCATTCACAGCACCCCAAGTGTCCACGGTTAATTATTGCCATTGCCGCTTTATTTTGTTATTCAAAAGGCCACAAATAGAAACTAGTCTCCCAATTAGTGGCTCTGGCATGGGCATTAATACTGAAATATTACTAGTAGTGTTTTATTCATCTCGTAAATGGGACTTGCAGATGAAAATAGTTGCGCCAAGTGAACTTACAACCTGCGGGGAGGAACAGTAGGCAGATGCATCAGTTTGTCTCCAGAGGATTGATGGTAATAACATATGCGTCCCCACCATATGGTATAGTGCCCGGCATAGCAAGGAGGCCTAATTAAGAGCCTCAAAAAATCCATAAATTCACATGTAAAAATTAAATCTATGCCACAGTGCATTATAAAACATAGCAATTTAGCTCATGTATATGATCAGAACACAGAGGGACTTTTGATGTGTTTGTTCAGCAGTCGTGCTACTTTGATAACACTTGTGCCCATCCCCCCGCCTTGAAACAGGTGGAGTCGTGTTGGTTTTTGGGCCTCAAACGTGTCTACTTTATGGTGCCAGTTTGTGTGCGCAGTTGTTCAAAGTATCACTCAATCTAATGGTTTGTTATTGCAACTTGAAAGCTTTATTGTCCACCTCTCTGCAGATATTTATTCACCTGAGCCAAAAAGTGTGACAGTAATGAATTAAGATTTTTCTCTTCAAATCTTACCCACAACAAAAAATAAAATTCTGGTTGAAAATTCATGCACTTAGTTTGAGCCAATGATTCAGAGCAGAAGAGGCCTTTTGTTCTGCGCTGATGATTTTACACAGAATTATCAGTAAAACAGCAGCTAGTGTGAATCTTAATTACACTTTGTTGATTGGTTCCCTCCACTTTAGGCGAAGAGGGTGTGATGTATTCATCGTTTAATAATCTTGTCTGAAAGAGCCTCTCAGCTGTCCGTTTTCTTTCATTTCTGCACAGGTTTAAAAAGAATTGCTTGGCTTTATCACAGTAATTACTTTCCACACATTACATGCTGTAATATTGGATTTCTGTTACTAAAGTACATTTTTGCTAGCTTACTTCTAGGGTTGTCAAAAGTATTGAACTTCAGATATTCATATGGATACCTATTTGGGAAAGTGAAAGTATGGATAGTGAAACAAATTACATAAGCAGGACAAGATTGTAGATTCCGCAACTATAACTTATAAAAAGTATTATTTATAAACCATCACATGATACCAACATTTGTTTTAGGCATATTTATTAGTATCAAAATCCAGTTTGTAATTGTAGTATCTTGACAACACTACTTACTTCCAACTTCCTTCCCTCATTGAAAAGTTGTGATTTACTTTCCACGTAAAGGAAAGTAAATCAGGCAGTTGCTATTGTTTTTAAGGCTTAAACAACAGGAGAGAGAAGAGCCCATATAAGTTAGTTTTATTACAATGCCTGGAGAAAGGCTTGGCTTGAATGTCCACTGGAACCGGGTAGCCCCCGTTCCTAGGACAAAAAGTGCAGTTGCCGCGTCTTTTGTCATGGGGGCTTTCACTAGATTCCAGGGGACTCCTGCCGACTGTATTGTGTCCTCGCTCTTCTTAAACAAATGGGTCTATGATAGCGACTTCTTGCTCTTTGTCATTAATATGGAACGGCACACTCCCCCTCCGAGTTGCTGCCACTGCTGCTGCCTGTCCCGCTACTCGCATGTGCACCCCGACTAAGGAGGGGTAGAGGGGGTCTGCTCCATATGAAAAGCCCGGAGCCACACCCATCTCTTCCAAGATGCTGGATCTTTGTTCGTCTGCTATATTAGGCCCCATTTTAATGAATTATCTCAAAGGCCCAATTAAGTGTGAGGGCAGTTTTAAACCATAGAGAATCTGTAAGTGACACCATGCAGCAGAGCGTGCCTGCCTGGAGCCCCCTGGGGACTCACTTTGTTGCTCCACCAATTCCATAATATTGTATGAATAATCCACACACTATTAAATGCTTGTTAATTTATCTTTAACAGCACATGAAACTAAATTCAACAGCTCCACTAGGTTCAGATAAATGTTATGTTGCAATAGTGGTATATATTGCCTTTTCTGCCGTCGCTCATATCCTGTTACGAATTTTGAAAGGAGTTGTCTCTGTTCATTAGCACGGTTCAGAAAAATCCCC